GTAAATTAAGTCCCCATTTAGCATACTTTCTTTTTTCCCCCAGCAAAGTATTAGTCTACTTAATTGATTCCCAAAGACTTCCTGCCACAACTTAAAACGGTTCCCACTGGGAGGAGACCGATGGGAGCCTGGATCTCAGCCAAGGGCAAGGTGCACAGTTCACTGGAAACCTGAAAGGGGGTGGGGTGAGGACATGAATTTGGAACCCGTCTTTTCTCCTGATTTGAAAGATGGAACCAAAGAATGGGGGAAAATCATCAGTGACAATACCTAATGAGTTTTAAATACTTATTACAGGAAAAATTGATTTGCTACATTGGCCCTGTAGATACAGGTTATAAAATGAGCCACTGTCCCCTTAAAAATACAAAACTCAAAGCAGCTAACAGCTCGGCCTTGGGGTTACAGGGCCACGGTGAAAGGTCACGGCCCCCTTACTCAGGGCTGTCCTTCCACCCCAGACTCCATGCTAAGCCCGTCACAGACCTTCTCTCAGTCCCCTTGCCACCTCTGGGGCCACTTTATAGACTCCCCAAGGTATTGTCTTTGGCACACACTTCCCAGGGCTGTGCTAGGGAGGGTGCAGAGGCCACCCCAGGGCAAGCTGTTGATGCCCTGCGGCAAGTACTTTATTGCCTCCCCTGAGTGCAAATGTGAGGTGACACAACCTCCCAACGTGACACAAGCCCTCGGGGTGGGGTCAGGCCCAAGTCCCTCCTGCCCGGCTTCGGCTCCTGATCAAGTCTGGCCGTCTCCCCCTTCCTTAATGGAGGAAGCCTGGGAAGTGAGTCCCCAGTGCAGAGCGGATGCCTGCCCAGATGCAGCGTGGCATGAGGGCTGCTGGCACAGAAGATGGGCTGAAGGGGCACCTGGTGGGCAGAGCCAGGGGCCTTCAAGGGCCGGGCTGCCCTTGGCTTCCTCTAGCCCCTGTGGGGCAGGCCCTCCGGGTTGGACCCCCTCTCCTGCCCCAGCTCTGTTTCTGACCTGGGGCTGGCCCTGGGTCTCCTGTCATCTGCGGGCTCCTGTTCACTGTTGCTTCTACCCCACAGCTGAATGTAGGGGAGCTCAGCACCTTGTCTCCAACCCTCTCCCCATCAGAATGTGACCTTGGCCCCCACACCCTGGGCTTATCTGCCTTTCTGGGGTCAGGACTAGACAACAACAGGGGAGACAGCATGGCACACGGAGGACAAGAAGTAGCTGGTGGAAGGGGGGCCTCATACTGTTCACATCCCCGACACAGCACTCTGGTTTGAGGGTCACTCGACACAGGTGACTCTCGTACTCTCTATTTAAAAGGGGGAGAAAAGTTGGCAGAGAGAAGAGTTGGTCATGAGTGACCGTCTTGCTTGAGCTCAAATTCTAGCTTTTCTGCTATTTTCTGTGTGACCCTGAGCAAGACTCTTCACCTCTCTGTGCTAATATTCTCCATCAGTAGAACTCTAAGTAGAACAGCTACTTCATGGGGCCACTGTGAGAGCTGGAGAACATCTACACCCTGCCCGGAGGAAGCACTCCGGAAGTGCCAGTGGTTCTCTTATTAAAACACAGGTGGATAGGGAGATTGGATACTATTGGCCATGAGGCTGCACGGTAAACAGCCTAGCGTGCTTCCTGGCACACGTGGGCACTGATCACAGCACCTTGTAAACAGGAAAGCAGGAGCCCATTCAGCCTTCCAGCACAGACTTTCACGTCTCTTGGCAGGAAATACAGCCAGCTAACGGGGAACTGTTTGAATGCGCCATGTGGCTCAGAAAAGCACCCCCACCAAGCTCAGCATTAGTTTCCCAGGAAAGCACTTAGGGACCCAGCTCCCCTGCTCCAACAACCAAAACACCACAGGGGTTTTGTAACGTGGACAATTACTCAAATTTCTGTGTTTTCAGTAATTCCAGGGCAGGGTAAACAGTCGGCTGCACAGCATCTGCTACGAGCAAACGCTCCCAGGAGCAGCCCTGCAGGGGGCGCACCAAGGGCTGGACGGTTTCGTGACTCAGATGAAAACGGTCTGTAGATACAAAAGAACACTGTGAATGGCATATAATGGCATTAAATGTAGATAGAAATTCTTTCCCTCCCTCCCCACTCCTGCCCGGCCGTCAGGTGCCCCTGCCCCCTGCTCTCTCCCTGCTAGATGCCCCAGGCTCCCGAGGTTCCAGCTGCAACACGGTAATAGCCGCGAGGAGGAGTCCCCAGGTCAGACAGCCCACTTCTCAATTCCGGCTGCACCCCTTCCTAACTATAGATTTGGGGCAACTTTCCTAGCCTCCTGACCTGTTTCCCTCTGTCAAATGGGCAGAAACTGGACTGGCCCCACAGGAGTGGTGTGGGCTCCATGATAGGATGCTGGTGGAGCGTCTGGCACAGCGCGGGACCGGTCCTCACTGGCTTTCGCCTTCATTACTTGCCATTTTCTGGGCAGGTCGTGTCAGGTCAAGTCTCGGGTCGTGCTGCCCTGCTCTGCCTGGACCTGGGGCTCCCCTCTGAGCCCTGCTAGCATCCCTGCTCTGCTTCCACAGCAGCTTGCGCTGGACCTTCCCACCACCTGCTCACTCCTCTCCCCTCTGATTCGATGGGGAGTTCTTTGAGGCCTAGGGCTGTGGGTCCTGGGTAAGTCATATTCCCAGTTCCCAGCCCAGGGCCTGGCCACTGGAGGTAATTGAGTACTCATTGCTGAACCGATTAGGGAGGGGATGCACACCGGGCACTGAGGCCTGGCAGGAGAGGAAGACAGACGTGACAGTGCTTGACACTGGGCCGCACTGAACCCCAAACTGGACTGCACTGAACCTCAGCTCTGCTTACATACCAGCCAATGTTCCGGCTGCCTTGTCATATGCCACGGGGCTCTCCGAGGAACCCACCAGGAAGGAGTATTGCACTCCTAGTGTGTGCGATACAGTGTGCTGCGTCCTTTGATATGTGCTATCATGTTAAGTCCTTACAACAAATTAGGTAAATGGGACAAATTACTCAACCCATTGTATAGATGAATATTCATAAAGGTTAACCAATATCACAGCCGACTGTCTAAGCCCAGAATCATGATTCCAGTAGAGGCCCACCTCACCTCCCACACACCTAAACTTTGAATGTTTAAAGCCACGGCTCCCACTTATCTGTGTTTAAATTTAAAAGTGCACAAGGGCTTAAAGTGACCTAGTCAATACTCAGCACATTCACACCAAACACCAGCCCGGGGCAATTATCGTTCCTCATGGGGGTTTTACAAGTTAGAACAAGATCTTTTAATGGCTTTGGGGTCATTGATGACACAAAGAAGTGGCACATGTTGGATGCGCACCTCAGGAAGGATACCATCCAGCTTTCAAGGTGCTCCGCACAGAGGACTGATGTAGTCCTGAAGCCACCCAGACTCTGAGCTCTGTGGACCACTGTGTGGACTGGACAGTAGAGACCTGCTGAGCGGCTCAGCACCTGCTCTGCAGGGTCACGCGGCCCCACCAGTTCTGCGCTGAGGCCCGTGTCTGGGCACTAGAAGGGGTAGGCAGCAACCTCCGGCCTCACTCAAGCCCTCAGCACATGCAGTGAGACTTCCCCTCTTGCTGTTCGTGTGCTGTCTCTCCTTCTAGATTGTGACCTCTTCGAAGGAGGAGTTTGAGGCATATTCATGTCTGTGCCCCATGCCTAGGAACACAAACGACAGCATATTCACAGAGAGCGGGCCAGGTACTCTGCTCATGGCTCCACGGCGTTGGCTCAGTTAATCCTGGTAATCTTAGGAGTTAGCAATTATTATCAGACCCATTTTAGAGATGAGTAAACTAAAACTCAGACAGCTATAGAAACATGTCAAGGTCACTCAGGTAAGTGGAAGAGCTGGGTCTAAGCTCAGCTTCTCTTCCCCCAACCTGGATGCCCAGGCATCGCAGCATAGCCCCTCCTGATGCTTGGGTAAGATCGCTGTCTGTCCTACACAGCCCAGCCTGGATCTATCCAATGGCTGCCACCTCCCCATGGTTGAATAAAATCAATATCCATCACCTCTCATCCCTGTTCTTCTAGTTGATCTTTTTACCTCTCCCCTTAGAGCTACCCACCAGCCAAAGGGCGGGCCTGTATCTCACTGTCTGCCTCCCTTGCTGTCCCCCAGTGACTCCTCCTTTTAATTTCCTCCCCTCTCCCTCCACCCCTGTCCCTGCAGGTGCAGACCCTGTCTGGCTTACAAAGCCCTGATCACAGGCAAGCTCCAGCGTGAAGCTTTCCCTAGCTCATCCAAGTAGGAGGATCCCTCCTTCCTCTGAACTCCAGATGCCCTTCTGCTCCTTCCCGTTTAGGGCAAGAAGTCACTTTCCTCCTGGTACTAGAGTAGCAGCTTTTATGCCTCCCAGAGAGGTGCCTTCAGGTCCTGCTGAGTGGGCCGAGGAGTAACAACAAAGGCCAAGTGTCAGGGCTGGGTCTCCGCCCTCTTCAATCAGAGCAACCTCTCATCTGTGTGGACATCTGCTCCTACCAGCATGATAGTTCATTTGAAGAAAGGGTTCTCAGAGGAAACAGATCTTGAGCTCAGGGAGTTGGCTGGTGGGTAATGATGTCAAGAGACCCCAGGGCTGGGCAATGTGCAGCAGGACACCCCTCGGTGTCTCCATAATGCTGTGTACAGAGCAGAGGCTCAGAAAGGTATGGGAATTCTCATGAGCCCCTGAACAGAAGCCTTAGTCCAACAAGAGTGTGTCCTGCAGGCTTCTGACCATCAGCGTATTTCTTTTTCTCAGTAAGAAGTGGGAAGGAGTGGCGCTAACATGTCTCAGTTGCAGCAAATCAAATGCCAGCCTCTGGGAAATGAAAGAGGAGCCCACCAACTTCGGACAGAAGCCCCAAAGCAAATCTGATGCTTTAGAAAGAGAAAGAGCATCAGCATCTGCATTTAAGGGCTTGGGTCTCCCATCGGGTGGTGCTGGGTGGGGCCCAAATCCATAATTTTGATTCAGGGAGGGGAAATGTTAACCATGCACCCTAAGGAGGAACTCAAGTACTCAGGCAGACAATGTCTTTATTCTATCCCCCTCACCTTAGAACAGGAGGTGAATAGTAAAAGTGCATTTTAAAAAGCAAAAGAATTCCAAGACAGAAGGCTGAGAGCCCACCTAAGATGGGACTGGGAAGTCATCACACCTGGTTAATTCGTGAGACAACTGGTGTCCTCGATACTTGAGGAAGGTAGAACTTCGTAGACAAAGCCAGGACCCCATCCCCCTTCCCACCAGGAGGTGTTTCAAAGCCATATGGTCACTTTCTCTGTGATGCTGTCTCCCTTCCAGCAGGCTGCACAGCAGTCCCAGATGGGCTTGTGATAGTTGGGGATGTGATTCAGGGAAGGTGCTGGTGGAGACCGGGGTCTCTGAGTCCTGAAGCAAGGAGTACAATGCCATGTTTGGGGAGCTGATGCAGAAGTCTTTCCTGAAGCAGATGATATGGGGGAAGGGGGTGTATCTGTGCTGGGGCTGTAAGGCCTATATTGCTGGTGATTGGACCAGTTGCCTTGTCCACCCCAAGTAGATGAGGAGAGCCCCATCTGGCCGCCTGGGCAGGAAGTGCAGAGGAGAGCTCCATTCCATGGCCTCCCTTGCCCGAGTGCCCTGTGGAGCCTGGCCCTGCCCCATGGCATTCTGTGGATGCTGCATCTCCTCTAGAGCTCCTGGGCCAGCTGCCCCATGGCCAGCTCCTCCACGGGCTGCACGGCCTCCTGCACGTAGACGATGAACTCCGAGGCCTCCCCGCCCTGCGTGTAGACAGTCACTGTCTCGATGCCCTCCACATCGTCAGAGGACACCACCAGGTGGTGCTGCTCGGCCAGCTCCACAGACGCCTGCTGGAGGGTCTCCTGGATCATGACCGTGTGATTGGAGGTGGGCTCCTCATCGGTTACCTATGTGAGGGCAAGAGAAAGGTCACACAGGCCCTACTTCTGGGTCCAGGCACAACACTGCAATCACAACTAGTGCTTATGGAGCATCTAGAATGTTCCAGAAGCTTGTCTCTACAGCACATAATCCTCTGAACAATGCTCTATGCTTGCTCTCAGCCTGGTTTGTGGATGAAGAGAGTGGTGCTCAGTGTTGCAAAGCAACATGGCCGGGGGCTCCGGCTGTGGCAGTGGTGGATTCCAAGTTCCAAGCCAAAGTTCAAGCTCTTCTCTTGACACCAGCCTGCCGCCCAGAGGTGTGGGGGATGCTGAGGGGATGAGGGCTGGAAGAGAGCATAGTACTTGTTTATTGCAACGGCCGAGGGTTGGCTGGGGGCTCCTGGAAACTCATAGCTGGCTCACTGGGTGCTGAGAAAGGGACTGGGTTTATCCTGGATTGTCTATCTTCCCACTCACTCTGGGCACTCAACTCTCTCTGACAATCAGTATCACGCTAGGCGGGAGGAGACGCCCCACGAGACTCATTTCCCCAGTGTCATCCACCAGCACTAAGGCGGTCAGCACACCAGGGAGTGGCCTGCTGGAAACCCACAGCCACAGGGCTGCAGAGGCCAGTCTGCAGGGGCATCAGTCAGCGGAGGGCCCGCTGACTCCCAGGGCCAGGGCTTTCTCTGTAGTTCCAAGCAGACAGACTACAAACAAGGCCAGAGTCCAGCCAGTGCTAATGCACAGGGTCCCTGACTCTGCGGGCTCCAGCCTGTTTTAAATGACACTATCTTTGATCTTGAGAAGAAAAATAATAGAAAGAACATAGGAGAGATTTTGAAAGAGTCAAGACCCTGGAGCTGCAAAAATAATGCAAGGGTCAGAATACAAGCCCAGGAGGAAAATAAAAGGGTCTGGGATTGTTTCACTATAGAAAGAGAGTCCTCATAGGTACAGGCGGATGTCAGAGAGAACCATCCTTTCCAAGGCGGGTCCAAGTGGCAAGGTGGCAAGAACATTCCCCTGCCCTATACTAGCAGGATTCCAACATCGGCTCCATCACGATTAGCTGTGAGACTTGGGCCAGACGATTTCCCAGACAGCCCTCAGTTTTCTCATCTATATATTAGGGACTACAGTGCACACAGCAGAGGACTGCTGGGAGAATTAAAGGAGATTCTATATACAAAGTGGATGCTCAGCAACATCACTGCCCTTTCCAAGCTTTGTCTGTTCATTTGGCAGCACTTTCTCAAACCCCTCCTCCCTGAAAGGTACTGTGGAATGACAATCACTTGCTCATTCATTCCTTCATTCCACCAAACCCTGGCCATTCTATCAGGTCCCACTAGACTCTACTTCCTGAGTACAGAAGCCATGCTGTTGTGACACAGCTGTTGTGACACAGTTCTTCTTAGAGCCAGCCTGGCACCCAGTATCGTTGAATGGTGACCCGCTAGACCATTCATGAGAGGCCATGACAGGCGCTAAGGAAAACCACCCTCTGGCAGAGCAGACATAGGGGCGGAATGAGGGTGGTCTGCAGAGTCGTGACACTCCCGGAGGGGGTGGCAGTGTCGGGTGGGCGCTCACACGCAAGGCCTCAGGAGGCGGGTGGGATAGGGTTCCAGCAGAGGGCAGGAGGAGCAAAGATCCCCGGGACTGCCAAGGGCACAGGGTTTGCTCCAACACCCTCCGCAAGTTCCCATGCACGCTGCTCTGACTTTTTCCCCTGCTGGGGTCTGGCATGGGACCAGCCCCTCCTCCATGCCCACCCAGCTGTAGCATGCCATGGCCCCAGGCTCTCTCCCAACTGGCTTTGAGGGGTCCCACTCAGGCCCCTGTGAGCAGGAAGGCTGTGGCAGCAGAGGGAATTTAATTTAGAGAGAAAAATGGAAAATGCCCCTCTGGGGTGGGCACCACCTGAAGTTACGGATTGGAAGGAACTTCTAATTTGAACATGACTCAAGGTGCCAGAGAGCTATCCCAGGTGAAAACTGTATACATTTAGCCTGATTTGTTTATCTAGAGTGAATCATGGCCTTTTTCTCTTCTTTTACTGTTTGTTTCAATTTCATTTAAATGGGAATATGTACTGTGAACAAAAACTTCAGATCAGAGGTAAATGTTGACTTATTTATTATGCAAGAGGCTGGGAAAAGGGGAGGGAGTCCAGAGCAAATGCTTTTCTCTTCTGAACTTTCAGTAATTCTCCACAAAGGAAAAGGTGAGGGCAGGCCAAAGCAAGCCCACTGCACTTCAGGCAAACAGACAGTGTGGTAAAAATGGTAAGACCAACCCGTACAGGAGCTCTGAGGCATGCCTGGGGGCCTGATGCCATTATCTGGATAATGGTGCCATCAAAGCTGAAGTTCAGGTGAGGAAGCGGTCACGAACAGGAAATGTCCACCGGCTGAAAGTCCCTGTCCTTCTGCACAACCCTAAGACACAGATATAGCCCCGAGAGCTGGAGGAAATGAGGGCAAAACCCAAGATGAAGCCATCATGCCTGAAATCAGGAAAAACAGTATGCTGATCCTGTTGAATCAGGGTCCAGGGGCTGCTTCATGGAAGGCAGGTTGTCCCAGATGGTGGTTAAAGGCATCGTAGGCAAAGAGGAGCAGTGAGCAATGAGGAGGTGTGTGGCCACAGGGCACCTACCAACTGCCAAACAAACCCACTGGGCAGAGTTCTGGTGTCACCTTTCCAGAAGGCTCCGTGCCATCTGATACTGCTAAACGACATCACCCTCACTCACTGAGATGTCCTCTTCTTTGTTTCCACAACCCTCTATTGAGCTCTGTTCCCAGATTCCAGCATTCCACATTGCACTTCAGCCCAACCAAAAAGCCAGGAGGATTCCTGGGTCCCTCCTCAACTTCTTCTCTGAATCCCTCACTGCACTGAGCCTTCTGCTCCTGGCTGAGCCAAAGACACCAAAGCCCACTCCTGAGCTGCAGGAGGTTTCCAGGGAATGCCTGTCATATGCACAAGTCCCAGGAGGGAGGGAATGCTGGGAGAGGAGGCAGGGGAGACCTGAAATGAAATTCACACATCTTGAAGAGCCTTAATCACCAGCTGAGACTGAGACTTGATCTTACAAAGGAAGACCCTGGAGATTTCCAAAGGGCTGCATCATGCAGTCTGTGGCACTCCAAGAATCAAAATTTGCCAAATGCAAGAAGTAAGACTGGGGGAGAGGCTTAAAGATGGAGGAGTGAGAAGTGAGACAGAAACCTCCTCTCAAAACCACATATAATATGAAAATACAACAAATACAACTAATTCTGAAAAAGCGACCAGAAAGAAGACTGTGACAGACTGCTTACACCTGGGGAAAAGAGAAGACCTCACGGAAAAAGGTAAAGTAGCAAAGCCACGCGCTGGTGGGACCCAAGCCCTCCCATCACCCCCAGTTCACCAGTGGGAGAAAGAGAAACAGAGTGGGAAGGGAGTAGAAGCCTGAAAGAGATGAACACCCAGCCCTGGAGATCTGCTGCAGGAGCATGAACCTATGTTACATGGTGCTCTGGAGATTAGCAGGGTTGAAATGCAAAGACAGGCGGAATACTCAGAGAGACCAAGATTCCAGCCACTTGTGGAGAACAGGCAAGCACAGCCGCTCTGGAACAAAAGGTGGGTACTTTGAAAGACTTTCCAAGAGCAACAGGGCTGCTAAAGAGGAAAGGATTATACAGAACTTACTGCTCAGGAGAAAGGACAGGTGGACAAAACTGTCCTGACACACTCAGCCCAGCAGGCTGGGAACTTTCAGTAGCTTCAGGTGCTCCATCACCCTGGCTGGTGATGTGTGCCGAGGCACCCCACCATGATACGCAGTCTGCCACTCCTTCCTCCCAGCCAGCTTCGATTAGCAAACCTACTGCCCCCACCATTGCACCAGGCCAGCCGGAGGGCAGACCCACCTATGGCAGCTTCAGGGGTGTAATACAGAGGCTCCTCTCTGTGTGCTTGGCCTACTGGCCCTGGCAGTGGAGGCGCACCACATCCAGGAAGCAGGAAAGGGCTCTTTCCTCATGGTAGGCATTGGCACCGCTTGCCTATGACGCCTGCCATTGCTCCAGGTGCTAGGCAGCTCCAGAGAGTAGAGCTTCTGGACACTAGAAGGTGCCAACTACACAAAGTTATTATTCCATACTAATCAATACAAACATGAAATGGCAAAGGAAGTTGGTATAAACCAAAATCCCACAAACACCAGAAAATGGGTTAAGTGAAACTGACATCACCAATCTTCCTAATAAAGATTTCAAAATACAAATAATAAACAGGCTCATGCAGCTACAGAAAAATATTCAAGACCTCAGGGAGGACTTCAAGAAAGAGATGGAAACTTTGAAAAATACAGTATCTGAAATGAAACATACAATGGAGGGATTTAAAAGCAGATTAGATGAGGTAGAGGAGATGGTAAATTTAACAAATTAAGAGAACAGGAATACAAAAAAGCTGAGGCACAGAGAGAAAAAACAATCTCTAGGAATGAAAAAATATTAAGGGAACAGTGTGACCAATCCAAATGGAATAATATTTTCATTATCAGGGTACCTGAAGAAGAAGAGAGAGAAAAGAGGATACAAAGTGCCTTTGAGGAAATAATTGTTGAATGTTGAAAACTTCCCCAATCTGGGGAAGGAAACAGTCTCTGAGGCCATGGAAGTGCCCAGATCTCCTAACACAAGGGACCCAAGGAAGAAAACACCAAGACATAAAATAATTAAACTGGCAAAGCTCAAAGACAAGGACAGATTGTTAAAAGTAGCCAGTGAGAGAAAAAAGATCACATACAAAGGAAAACCCATCAGGCTAACATCAGATTTTTTGCATAACCCTTACAGGCCAGAAGGGAGTGGCATGATATATTTAATGCAATGAAGCAGAAGGGCCTGAACCAAGAATACTCTACCTGGAATGATTATCATTTAAATTCAAAGCAGGGAATTAAACAATTTCTAGATAAGTAAAAATTGAGGGAATTTACCTCTTACGAACCGTTT